CATACATACATACATACATACATACATACATACATACATACATACATACATACATACATACATACATATTTGTATGCATAAATATTTTAATGTATATAGGTATAATTTATTGTATACAATTTAAATTTCAGAAAATTTTAAAGATTTTCAAATTTTTGTGTCAAGAAATTTTGGGCCAATTTATGATACAAAATTGTTATGTAAAGAATTGAAGCGTGTTATTCCTAAAAATTGTTTGTAATTTTGTATCTGCTATAAATAATTATTTTTATCATAATTTTAATTAATTATTATTTATACATTTAGATAACTGGAAGGGAAATTCTCTCCCAGAAATTTATTCATTCTTGACAAATGGAGATGGCAGAAGAATTCCCATTTTGATAAACATTGAGTTATCTGGTATTAAAGAACGTAAGAAATAATAAAAAGTGTATTTTAAAACTATTTAATGAACTTTACTTCTTGGATAAATCACTATTTTACTATACAAAGTGATTTTTTTTTTATTGTTGAACACCCATTAATTCAAAAAGTATTCATTTGTTTTTTTAAATTTTAGGTATATATTTTTATCTTTAAATAAATAAAAGTCTTATATGAACAATTATAAAAAAGTATGTAGCTAAATTGTTGAAAAAAATCTATACTTTTTGGGGATAATTAGTGTTGATAAAATAACCACTTTGTGCATTACTCTACAACTGTTATGAAAATATGCACTATCAATAAAAACAAGACTTACCAATTGTGAATAGAGAAAAAATATTTGGTTTATTCAGATACACTAAACTTTTTAAAGAAATAATTCACTTTAAGACAATAATTATTACTTATATTTTTAACACAATAAAGTTATGAACTACTGGTTCTACTAGAGTATTTTTATATTGTAGTTCACTGAATATTTCAAGTATGTCTGGATTTTTAAAATGTTAAAAACGTTTATAAAGATTAAAAATAATATTTCAATTTATTAAATAAAGGTAATACATATCAAACATTTAACTTTCAATCAATTAAAAACAATTAATATAGTGTAAATCTGTTATAAATTATATGAAATTTCAAAATTAAAATCAAACAAAACATAACTCAATGAATAGCACCAATAAAAACTATACAAATTAGCTTGTTAAAATATTAAAATAAAATAGTATAGTTAAACAATAATATACAATTATTAACAATCAGTTTCAGTCGCGTTTTACATTTTGACTGTGATGTACCTGATGATGAATTTTTAATTCAAAACTTACAATACACATTTTATAATACTCCAGTTGCATTTATTAATTAATTTTGTATATGTGTATTTATTTATTATAATATTTTATATTCTAGCTCAGGAAACGAAATTCCATGATGCTGGTTGGGATGCTTATTATACTGGTTATTGTTTTATACGAATTGTTCATATTATTAAATGCATGTCCAATAAACGGCAAGTTTTTTATATTTTTCATAATATGAATAACTATATTTCAAAAATACTTCATATAATAATAGTTTTGACATTTGATAATATCAAAGTTATTGTATTATAATAAATATTATAATAAATTATTTATTCGTAATTTTTAGGGAAACAGATTTTCAAACATTTAATTTTACAGAATTTTTAAAAATAGTAGAACCTTTTAAAAATAAATTTTACACCCAGCGATCTATTACAAATTTTATTGTGAGTATTCATTCACTTATAGACAATTATGTTATTTAAATTGAGTTTACTATTTTGTTTTAAATATTTTTCTGTTTGTCTATAAATACTCAATACTTAATTTTTAATTTAGGATTTAAAAACAGATAGTCATGAAAATCAGATTAATTATTTAATTATCCAAAATAAAGGAATGTTTTATAAATCTTTGGATGTAAATAAGGTAAATATAATATTTGTATTAAGGTATTTGAATATAAAAAATTTTGTGAATGTATTTTTGGTTTTAGCTGACATCTCGTCTGAAAGAAGTATGTGCATTTGATATAAAATTACTTTCAAATTACACTGCCTTGATTGTCTCACCTTGCAGGTAATTTTTATTTAAATCAATTTATTATACTATTGTATTTTTGAGAAAGATTAACTATTTTATGAATTGTAACATTAAGTATCTTACTAAAGTGGTTTTATTTTATTCTTTCTCTAGAGACCATTTAACTAAATTAACTGTTAAATTTAATTTTTAATTGTGTTAGCATTATTTATTTAAAATTTTAATTCATTAATTTGCAATTATTTTTAATATTTTATGTGATAGAAATAAGCGTATAATTGATGGTTTAAAATCAGAGTACATGGTAGATGAGTATTCAGATTATCAAAGAAGAAGAAAAAATCAATATATAGTGGGTCTAAGTTTAATGATGTTAGTATTTTTTTTAAGCAAAATTAAATATTAAAATAGTACAGTATTAACAGTATAACAGTATTTATATTTGGTTTTTAGATGTACTCCCATTATAATTCTTTTGTATTTAAAGAAATAATGATACATGCAAGAATTGGATGAAACAAGCACAAGCATAAGCAAGTAAATTTATTCAAATTTACTTATTGTATTTTAACCTTAAAATATATTTTATTATTTGCATTTTTATAATCATTTACTATTTAATTTAAAAATGTTTAAAGCTTGTAATTTATTCATATTGAGTCATTAATTGTAACTAATTAATATTTAAATATTGACTAAAATTAATAAAAAATAATTATTATTATTGCTTAGTATTTTCTTACTATTGTAAAATAAAGTGGTATCTTTGTTAGTTAAGAAAGTTATATAAATTTACTATCTAATTACTCAGGGTATTTATTTATCCCAATTTTATAATCTAAAATTCAATATTTTTTTTTTAGATAAAAAATCAAAAAAAAAATCAAATACTAGTCTGAAAAGTGTTTGCCAATAGTTCTACAAATGGTATTATTTTATTGTTGAAGAACTACTTAAGAGTCCTATAATTATTTCATAATTCATTTAGGACACGAAAAGTAAAACCACGAGTAGTAGAGCCCCATCATAAGAGTTAAATTGCCTTCCCCCTCCAGGAGGGGGTGGGGCTATTGACTTGCTGTCCTTTCAATATTATAATTTAAAAAAAGTTTCATCAAAATAGATAAAGACATTTTGCCGACATATAAATATACAGTAGGGAGAGGGTTGGATGTTGAAACCACCAAAAAGCATATCATTAATACTTATTCAATGTATATTATCCACAATTTCATCCTTCCGACTTCATTTGAAAAGTCTGTGTATCTAAAATTTTAAAAACCCTCTTCCTGCAACAACATGGTTTTTAAGTTCGTGTTGAAATTTAACCAGCGTTTTATCACTTCAATCTGCCTTATAAAAACTAATTACTAAATAATTTTTTTGTGTCTAAATCATATTATTATTTAATAGTAATTAATTTTATTCAAATATTATTGTTTATCCGCATCCACCACCAGAACATGGACTTCTGGCAGGTCTATAGTTTAAACAATTGCCAGATTCCATTGAAGGATTGTAATCTAAACCAAACATAAATAAATATAAGACTATAACACTTGAGAAATATAAGACTATAACACTTAAGAAATAATAATTATCAAAACAAATTTTCATCTAGTCTTCTAGAATATTGCCCCCTTTTTTAAATTTTTATATTAGGTGATTTTACTAAATAAATGGAGTATTGGTGAGGAAATGTTTGATTTTCATCAACCCATTAACAAGACATTCCACTTTTAAAATGCTACACCACCACATAAATGATATTCTGTTACTCACCTTATCTAAACTTAAAAATGGAACATCTTTAGAATATCTATCAGTTGACATAAATTAAAAATATATTCAAACTAATACTCCATCCATGTATGTAATTTTTAATAAAGGTTTTCATTTGAAAAACCAAAGTATTCAAAAATATTCACTTTAATTAAACTTAAAAATGGAGTGAGCATACTTAATAAAACAACCTATATATTTGTGTGTACAAATTCTAATTATACATGGAATAATATTTTAATATAAATACTAAATTCAAATACAAAAGAATACAACAAATTGTATTTTATTTTACAACAACCATAAATGTGTAGTTTTAAACATTAAAAAAAAAAAAAAATGTATAATTCATTGATATATCAATTAATTTAATAATTGATACTATTGTGGTCAAGCAATTGATGTATTGATACATTAATTTTGGGTGTATGCTCTTTTGAATGATACTTTTATGATAAAAAAATTTTTTCAGTAATGGAAAATAAAAATTTCAACACTAAAATAGATATTAATACTAATTTTTATTATATGCTACTATATGAAAGTCAAGAGTAGGTAATTCATAAGTGCGGAATTTCTATTTTGTAATCGAAATCGCTGTGCTCCGAATCTAAAAGTTGAAAAATATTTATCAATAAATGTACATAAGTAATAATAGTTATTATATTATGTAGGTATGTAAGCATTAAAATGTGAAGATTATGACATATTATTTTGTTGTTTAAAAAAGATTAAATAATCCTAATTCAGATGATGTAGCGTAAAAAAAAGCAAGACACCACAATTATACACACACACACACACATATTGTTTTTTGAATATTTGGTATAAACGTGTTCGTTTTATATTCTGAGTGGAGCGAAGGAGCTTATAGTTTTACAGTTGTTATTTTTTTTTTTATCTGTGTGCAACCAGAAGACTTGCTCAGATTTCTACATGTAGCACCTTTTCTGAAACGAAATCGTGGGGGGATACTTTAGGAAAGTAATTTTTCGTTTTTCTCAGGCGTTTTCCCAGCAAATGCGAAAAACTGGGATAAAACATGGAAAACCGGAAAAACGTAGGAAAACTGGGAAAATCGGTACAACATTAAACAAATATTATTAAAGAATAATATGGAGCCTATTTAATTATTTTACTATAATACGGCATATTTATTGTTGACAAAGTATTACTATCAACTAAACTTTACTCAGAATCATTTTTTTGTTAGTAATGGTTTATCGTTGCTTACAGATGTACATTAAATTAAACCTATAACAGTGGCTGCACCTGTCTCCATTGTCCTAGGACATTTATTTTACATATTATAACTTGTAAAATTTGTGTTGAATTTTGATGTATTTTTGTGAGGTCAAACCGATTTTAACGACTTAAAACCAAACAAAATTAAAAAAAAAAATTTGACAATTTAAAATGCCTATAAATAGTTAACGTGTTAATATTATGAAAATATCAGATATTTGTAGCGGTGGCGGCCGACGCGACGGCGTAATGTACGATAACGCCAAACGCGACAAAACCAGTAGTGTTATGGTGATGCAATAGGTGGTGGTTAGGTAAACGGATGGATTTACACTCACACTAATGATCATTTACTACGCATACAGACGCAAGCCATGAATGCACGTGCATTCTATATTACTTAAATTGAACCTCTTAAATAGACGTCACGTAGGTATTATATCTAAATTCGTGGTCTGTAGACTATTTTTTCAGTTGTCACTATTTCAACAAAGTTGACAATAGTAACAATATCAGTTTGTAGATATGCACACTGACAGCATAGAGTAATAATAATAATATTAATCTATTTCGTGTAAACGGTTATCACTTATCATCAAATTGATGTCAATATTTATTGACGACGCGAAATATCCGAACAGATTTTTGTTAACAGTTCCTTTTTAGGGTTAATGACTGACGTGCGACGTATGGGCTTCAATTTTGTTACACGGTCGTCATAAGGGATCAACGCTTCTATATTAATCTATTAGACGACCATCTTAAATCGAGCTATCATGCATGGTTGAGGATATAACCCCTTCTTGGCTACGCCACTGAACAAACAACAGCTACATGACATTAAGTAAATGTAAGTGTTAAAGTGGACGTTTAATAGTTCATAATTCAAAAAACACCTCTGACATTCCCTACAAAATATTGTTCTACATAAATTTCATAATAAGTACTTTTACTCTAAAATCAAAATTAGGCTGGTTTTACTTATTCTGCGTAAGAATTATTTTTTTATGTTACTCAGTAGTTGGACTGAAACAGTAGATGCTGTTAAAACGTCCTTATAATATCAATAAATGTTGTGTAAATAATTTTAATATCTATGGATAGTTTTTTTTAAATAAAGTAAATAAATTTATATTTAAAAATAAAATAAATAAATGAATGTGTCGCCTGAAGTATGATAAGTGTATTTTACGACCAGTTTCAAATTAAATATTATCATCAGGTATATTACAGTTAAAATGTAAAACACGAGTTTTTTTTTATTAATATTACTAATATTCTTATTAGGTAATTAATATAATAAGATTAATATACCTAATATAACAAACCTTTTATTTAAAAATATAACTTACATAACCATCAGCCTTATTTCAAATCTAGAGCAGTGAAAACCCACAAATTTAATCTCTTAATTAATCAGAATGTTACAGCAGTACAATATAATAATAATAATAATATCATATTTATTGCAGCAATAACATATCTTTACATATTATAAAAAAATATTATATGTATAAATTATAAATAAATTTATAAATGTATAATAATTATAATTAAATAAATATTGCAGCACTCCAAAAGCAGAGCGTGTGCTGGGAGTGCAAGTTCTTAAAAGGAAAAAAAATGTTAAGTAAGAATAAGTATTGTTACAAATGATAATTAAAAATAAAAATTTCAATTACAAATAGAATAAAGAGACTTAATTATACTAGACACAATTAATATAATCATCAATGAGGTATCAAATCTAATAGTATGAGGCCAATAGATAAAATAAATAAAATAGACAATACATGACAGATATGAGGTAGTTAATAACTGGAATTAAATACAATTTAAATCTAATTTTTTTATATAATTTTTGAAAGCAGTAAAATTCTTAAAATTATTTAAATTAATATTAAATGACACATAAAAGTAAGCTAATTTAAAATGTACTTTTTTGATTCAGTACAATTTGGTAAGTGTATATTGATATTTTGTTTGAATCTAGTTTTATGTTCATATTGGTATTAAATGTTGATGTATAAATAAATTGATTAAGACAGAAAAATTATAAATAAATTAAAAGTTTTTTACATTTAGTGCCTTATATATTATGCTAGTGCTTGTTTGAAAAGGTAAATTTAATAAATATTTTATAATACAATTAATAGTAACATTTAATCTGGATGAATGGATATTATAGGTTCCTCCTCAAATTGATAAACCATAAGAATAATAAGATTGTAATAGGGATAAATAAATAATTATTTTATAATAATTATGAAAAATATATCTAGATTCTTTGAATACATAGAAGAATTTATGTAAATTATTATTTACAAAGTTGATATGCCTGTCCCATTTTAGCCTATAATTATTAATTAATCTAAGATATTCAATTTCTAATACTTTTTCAAGATTAATTCATTTAGGATTACAGGTTGAATCACAATTAGATATACAGTTTAACGAATGAACTGTTAAATTATTATTTGTAAAAATATTGAATGAATAAAGTTCAAAATGAATAAATTTAATTAGATTAAATAGATTATTAACTGCTTGATCAGATATTAAAATATAATAAGATAAGTAATGGTTTGTCAAGATAAATAGAACTGGTTTATTAGGATTGTTTGAAAATAAACCAGTATTATTCAAATTTATAGAACATCGTGCTGACTATTCCTGTGTCTTTACTAATTAAGTAACATTAATATAACATAATTTTGGTTTTTTTTTTTATGTTTTTCTTTTCTGGAATTCAAAGGAAATATGGCTTTCAATGGTGTCATTGAAATACTCTCCACGATTACTTACCAAGTAATAAATTGTATAATTTTATCATTTGTTAGTTTTAATTTGTTTAAATTAATAACATTAATAATTTTAAGCTTTTTAGGGTTGATGATTCAACTTTTTTACTCTCGAATTACCATACAAATGGCACTAGGAACAAAAAACAATGAGAGCAACTGATAGTTATTATGATATTTACTTTAAACGTCAATGTCATCTACATAGATTTAGATATAAATATTTCATTATTTAGCTATTTTATATTATAATATTAATTACTTTATTATTATGTAGATATTTATTTTGTGAAAATCAGAAAAATATCTTTAAATATTATCCATCACCAGCTTGGGTTAGATCTATAGATATTATTGGTAATGGTGATGTAATCTTCCACACAATCATTGATCTCCAATTACATTCCAATAATTAATTTAAGACAATCTTTTGTTTTAGACAGAGCAAGTACTGGCAAATTGGCTATTTCCACTAAACAAATTTATATTCAAGAAGTTGTATTGAAAGAATTCTGGAATAATATTATATTATAGTTTTAATTGTGAAACAATAACTGTTAGAATATACTTCTAAAAATCCTGAAAGTACACTAAACTACACACATTTACAGTCCCAAAAAATCCCACAACTATTGATGAGTTAATAGATATCCTGATTGAACTAACATAATGCCTTATACTTCAAACTTACAGCGCCTATCCTCAAGGTTTAATTGTATATTTTGGGTTCTGTTATAAACTTCAAATGTTAGTTGTTTTATTATTGTTATTTTCTTACTATTTTGTTGTTTAGATTTTTTCAACATGTCTAATGTTGGTAAATGGTAAATGGAGAACAAGTTGGAGTAGTATTTGCTAATTGAGACGCCATTCAAAAATATAGGAAGAACTACTTCAATCAATTACAATCCTAAGAGTTGATAGAACTTTTAACTGCACTAAGAAATCCTCTTGCTTTAAAGAAAAGCTGCCTTCTTATGTTTCATATACTCATAGTTTTCAAAAATATGGTAAATTAGTTTTTTTTAACTAGTCTAAATACACTTAATAATTGTTTTTGATTTTCCTGCCATTTTCAATGTTGTATGTTTTAACTAGTGCCAGGTTAATGCATAATATGCTGTGTATAGGTGAATTTTAAAATGCCACCCTTACAACCCTTATACCCACCATAAAAAATAAATAGTATCAAAACAACACCCTTTTAATTTTTTATACCGTTCAAATTATAGCAGTATCATTGGTTAAATTGAAATAAGAATTGCCCATCCTACATTATAGTTATTCATAACAAGCTTAAGAATGATCCAAGCTAGAAGGGATACATATTTATAGGTACCAATTGGAATCAGGAAGAACCCCCTAAAAAAAGTATCCTGACTCCGACAAAAAAATTATTAAAAATAATTCAAGAATCAGATACACCACATATTTTAACATTATATTTAAGATGTGTAACACATACTATTTCATCATTAAACATTAATATTTATTCATGTAAGTTTCTTAGCATCAATTTTTAATTGTATTAAAATATTTAGTTTTAATGAATTGTAATTAAATAAATTATTGATTCTAATTTATGCCAAAAACGGCTACACCCCAAAATGGTTACATGTCAAAATGGCATTAGCAAAATGGTCATCCCCCAGTGAAGCTCTATTAGTCTTAATGTGGGGTACTGGTTTGAGTTGCTAATATCTACCATAGAGAATTTGTAAATTATTAATCCAAAATTATAAGGATTATTTACAAAGATGGATGTTTTAATATTTAAGATTCTGAGTGGTACAAAGAAGCTATCAACTTTACTTAGATCTGTGTTTTTTTCTCCTGCTAAATACTCTTTTGCTAGAAAATATTTTTTTTTTTGTAATTTGGTTAAAAATAGTTGTAGACCTAAAAATTTTACATATTTGTACCCTTGTTCGTGTTATTTATTTTATTTGGTTGTGTGTTCATAAAATTATCTGGCTTAAACAGAAGTGCTTAAAAATTTAACACAAGGTTTATTTTAAGCTGTACTTAGTGGAACAAAAAATTTAAGTTTAATGAAATTTTTTTTTATAAATGTTAAAAGTAAAATATTGAAAAAAAATCATAAATATTACTCCATTTAAAAACATCTTTAACCAAACTTTGCTCAGAATCATATTTCCACATCAATTTTTTGTTCAATTTATACATATAAAAATACAATAATCATGTATTCTACCTTTCCAACTTCCTATACCTACAACAAAGGTACACCAATCTGCATTATTACTTCTTTGTATTTTTAACAAAGTAAAACTGTACATTTGTTGTAATTGTTCATTTTAAAATCATATATTGTCTGCATTTAATTGTTTAACAATATTATGATACTATTAAATTTATGTTTTTTTTAATAAGAATATATTTAATAATAAAAATAATGCTACTCCTTGATATGTCTAAATGAACGAACTCTGAGGTTTTGTGCCCGGATTTCTCCCACTCATATCTACTCACATAGGAATGTGCAAGAATGGATAAGTTTTGTTTGCTGCTCAGTAGCGTTCCTTTCTTGGCCGGACTATAGTATTACATATAGTGATTTTATTTAGTTGTATAATATGCATTAGCTTACCTATTTCAAAAAATATTTTATAACTGGTTTTTTAAGTTTTAGGCTTTGAAATATTCCCATATAGAAGATTTTCAACAAGCTATACAAATTATGGACCAAAAACAAGCTTTAGCTAGTTCCAGGATAATGTATCGATTGTGTAATAATTATTCTTCACTGTATGACCTTGTGATCAAGAACTTAGAGAAATAAAATAGTGATTATGAATTGTTGATATTTAAATATCAAAAGTTGGTATATGTTTATGGTATATGAAATAAGAGTGACCTCTGGAAAATATTATAAATAAGGCATTAGGCATAGATTTTTACTGTAAATTTAAATATTAAAAGTAAAGTATTACTCTACTTATATTATAATTGATTGATATCCAAATCACTGTTATTTGAATAACCTTTTTAGATTGAAGATTATCAATACGATTTAGTCCTAAATAATTGAGTCTATAGTAAAAACATGTATAGAAGCTATGACTCATTTAGTTGAAGCATCGAAAGAAGGTTGTTCATTGTATAGTGATATAGGTAGCTTTAGGTAAAAAAAATATTCATAATAATAAATAATTTATAATTGTTACAAAATAATATAATATCAAATCTAATATGTTATAATGATAAAGGTATTATTAGATTTTTTTCAATTTTGTGCAATAAACAGTACTGTGAAGTAATTGCTTTTCCAAAAACATTTTAAGGAAAATAACTATTGACTGGCGCCCCATCAGAAATCACAGTTGAGTATAATATGAAGAGATATTTAAATTTGTATAATAATTGTTAAATATTAATAATAGACTCGAGTACATTGATTGGTTGATTAATTTTAATTCCTTAGAATTGTTAAAATTGTTAGAATTGATTATTTTGCTCACATTAATTTTACTAACAGTTTCACCACATATTACATTCATCTACATTTACACTTTCATAGTGTTTGAAATCAGTTATAACGTTTTCTTGAACAGTTAGTTGTTGAATACACCCTTGAAAATTGCCTTGAAATAAATCTGGTTTATCATATGAGAAATATTTTTCTTCTGGAACACCTCCTGTAAAAAATATTATCATAAATAAATTAGCATTATTTTTCCATATTTTATACTACCTAAATAAATAATGTTATCATTCAAATTAAATGACTCTATATTGTGATGGTATGGATTGGATATCCAATTGTCTAATTCTAATGTTACATCTGATTTTGTGACATTTAATCTGACCATATGCCATTCACTATTTGTTATATTAGAAACTGGCGCTGTCAGTTTGATGGGTTTTTGGTATTTGTGGGCCCATGTTAATGTTAATAATCCATTTATAATTCCTAAGCCAATGTACCACTCTTCCTTTAAAGAACAAATCAATATATGTAATGTTACTAATCAATAGGTACTCTGAGGTAATCTAGTTTGTAATTTTTGACACTAACCTGAGATGTCCACATAAGCAATCCATTATTATATGTTGTTGAAAAATTTAAACTGATAAATTGTGTCTCATTATCTACGCTGACTTTATTGTTGCCTTCTCGTTTAGTAAGTGATGAAAGTTTACTAAGAACTAAATACCCATGTCCTTTGAACAGCGGTGGTCCAGTTGGAAGTTCTAGAAATAATTGTTTAATCTATTAAAATATGATTACTTATTGAACATGATTTGTAAACGTTTTAATAGACGGAAAATTTCTGATGGACTGCTGGAGCAAAAACTATTTGATATAAATGTAGTACTTAGGTACATTGTACACACACATATATATATAGACGGTTTTTTCTGTACAAAACAGCTAGTAACAATAATATGTATTATTGTTACTAGCAACTAGAAACTAAATACTATAGAAAATAATCCCACTTTAACTAACTCTAAACCAGTGTTCGGCAACCTTTATAGTCGAAAAACCTGGAAAAACAGGCATAAATGGACAAATATTTTCGTCCTTAGTGATTTCATGATTTTACATTTTTGTAACCTATGTTTTCTCCTAGAAATCTTGCTTCAATTAAAAAAGAACGGACCTTTTTTGCTTGCATTTTTGATCTAGTTGCTCACAAAGATAGTCATTTTTTGATTTTCTAAGTAGTGTTTATAATTGGGAAAAACCAAAAATATAATATTAATACCAGAAATATTGCTATAATAAAATAACAAAAAGAAATCTTTTTGTTGAATTTTTAATTTATTTGGTAAGTATGAAGTATGAAGTATTTTAGAATTTTCCAAATAGTTTTTATAATAAATTAAGAAGAACAGGGAAACAACGTAAAATGAAAACCTACAAAATGTACGATTTCATTATTTAACATTTTTACGCTTTATGTTTTCTACCAGAAATAAAAAAAACGACAAGAGACCATTGCTGTTGATCAACAAAAAAAAAAAAAATCAAAAAATTATGAGAGTTTTGTAGCATTTTGTATCCAGTTCATGCAGAATAAATTATAAATAATCAAAAATGCAATGATGCAAAATGGAAATTAGTACAATGTGCAATAAAAATTTAAATAATTACCTATAAATAACTTATGGCCATAATTTCAATACATGTAAATATAATGATATAATCAGCGATGAGCATGTATAAAACGCATGATTTGTAAATCTTATTTTAAGTAATTTAAATCACGACTGTGAAAAAGATTATGTAAATAGTTTTAACTTAACAAAAAGTAAGTTATTAATTAAAACGTAAAGTTAAGAAAGACCCGTGTAAGATTTTACACAGTGAGTTACAGTGAATAGGATTTAGTAGTTTGATTACTGTAGGTACATTCACGATGCGTGTAAGAAAAAAATATTTACTCTACAAGTTCACGTAAGACGTAAAGATAAACCATTGCTAATGAAATATGATTCTGAGCGAAGTTTGATTAAACATCTTTTTAAACGTCGCGATTTCTAAGATTTTTGTCATCATTTTTTTTTTTTTGAACTACCAGGTTCAACTTATGATGAATTTTATGTCAAATTTTCAAACATTTCTGTTTGACCAAAACAATTAATTTCACATAAAATTAATAAAAACTAAAAACAAATTCAAAAAATCTAAAACGCTTATAAATTGCTCAAAAATTTCCAAAATGTTTTAAAAATTTTACCACGATAAGAAATAGCTAATATAAGTGTTGTATGATGATTTCAAGCCAATTATTTTTAATGAAATTACTTGAAAACCGAAAAACATGAAATCCTTAAATTTCCTTTTTCTTTCATTTTTCCCGCAATGTTCTAATTATTAGAAAAAATACATAGAAAATCAGGGAATGATCTCCCAGTTCACAAACTAGTCACAATTATTTTTAAGAAAAAATGCTATTTTAGAAAATCGGATCAAGGTTCTGGTAAAAAAAAACATCATAATAAAAATAATACATTCCTGGTTGCGCTTAGAATCTAAAAACCATTGTATGACTTCGGATATTTGTTTATGTTTTTGTTTTAGAGAAGAATTTCGAAGCCGAAATTTTCGAGACTTCAATGATTTTTTTAAATTTTGGCAGTGGTTTCTGGTAGTAAATTAGGTCTAGTTGGTGAGCCATTTGAGAGGTCATTTTTCTATTTCCCTTGGACTTTTTTTTAATATTGAGGATACAACAGAAATATGTAAGTATACTATAACCCATGTTAGTTTCGATTTTGTAGTCATTCGAAGAAAACATAATAGGTACTTCTGAAGTATTACACTTGCGATATTTATCGAACTCTTATATTTACATATAGGTATCAGCAGTTATTAGAACTTTATATTTTATAGGCATATACACGTGTTATGACTCACAAAACATTCAGATGATTTTTGAGTTAGGTATTAATATCTGTTTTAAATTTTAAGTGAAGAATGTATTGGTTTTACAAAGATGTTTATTTTTTTATGTGAACACTTTCTACCAGAAAGCTTACTCCGATGTATACGATATAGACTTTTTTTTGAAAGGAAATATGCTTGGGGTGGTACTTTAAGGAGGTAATTTTTAAATTTTCCCCGCAGTTTTCCTAATATAAAAGGGAAAAACGGTACAAATATTATTAAAGAAAATGTATTTAATTATTTTACCATAATATTGTTGGATTTTTACTAAGACCAAAGGCTTTATAAACTTTGCAATAAAAATGTATTAAAGCACACTTTACATTTATATGACAAGATTACAATACAATGAAGGTTAGGATAGTATAGTATTACATAGGTAATAATTAGGTATGATAGAGAACAGTTTGGCTACGGAACCACGAAACAATTTGTTCAACAAATATATATTGTTGACAAAGCATCACTATCAACTGAACTCCGCTCAGAATTGTTTTTAGATAGCAATGGTTTATCGTTGCTTACAAGTACAAATTAATTTCCCCTCTAAATCCTACATTTCCAACATTTCACTAAAAATAGCAACCATCGTATGAAGTATGTCCGTCTTTTTAAATGTTGATTGTTAATTCGTACATTAGAATAATTTTTTGATTTCTAACATACCTTTCGTGCAAAACGGGCCGTCCCATCCGGACGGGCATTTGCATACGAACGACGTGTTTCCAAAGTTTTCACTCACACAGTGTCCTTTATTTTGGCACTTGAATTCGGTGCAAGGTACTAGCTTGTTGCACGAGTTTCCGGTAAACTCCTTGACGACAAAATTAATACAGTTTTTTACATATGTATAGTTAAACAGAAATAATAGATTATTTAAAATAACAAAAAACAAAAGTGTTATATTTTTAGAACTTTGTTCATATCAATATTTAGAAATTAAATAAAAACTATTCGACAATTATATTTGTTGCGTACCTATTTGTTTACTAAATATTAATTGATTTTAATAGGTAAGTTGTTCATAGACAAAAAAAAATGGATACATTTTATTTCATTTTAGTTTGTCAATATGAGTCATTTAAAATTTATCAATTCAAATCGTGGAAAAGCTGCTGTCATTTTTCAAAAATATTTGTGTATAGTAAAGAAAAACTGAAACACAGAGAATTTTACTTTTTTTTTTTAATCATTTATTCGGTTTGTTGGTGCGCTTATGATTTACTGCCGTTGGTGCGCAAATAATGTACAAGTTTTTAGAGCAGATAAACAAACGATGTAATGAAAATAATAACCGCCGGAATTTGTTTGTTAGTTTACATCCCATACCTTTAAATTTGCTTCAGATCCGCTGTTGGTAAATAGATATCTACTTAATGATGTCTCCAGTAAGATAAATTATACATTTCAAAGGGTATTTCTCAAGTATTTTGTCAAAGGCCTCGCAATAACTGGCGTCGCCCCCGGGTACGGTTATTATTATATATAGGTACGTACTCACCTGAAGACAGTGGCAGTGTGGCCTCATGTCCATATCTAACCAACAACTGCCACCGTGGTGGCAAAGATCACCACCACACGGGGTCCCATCGCAGTCAGCTATGTTCCGGCCGACAGTGATCGACGAAAAGTTTAACGGTATCGTGTCGTAATCGATCGACAGCCTGCGGATACAACCGGTAAATGACACCGGAAGTCCGGCAGTGGATCCGGGTGGCATACGTGACAGATCCGGTAGACCACCTACATTTTTCGTGCATACAAGAATCGCAAATAATATTAATATGCAAGGTGTCTCACGAGGATTCGAGAATGCAATAATTTTTGTTCTAGTCAATATTTTTGATACATTTTTTTTTTTAATAATTATATGCCTCTGCGCTACAGTTTATACATGGACATTTTTTTTGTTAGGGGAATGGAGACTTAAAATAAAAAATATAGAATTTTAGTATAATTTTTTAAAAAAAAAATTCTAATTAGCCATTTTGTAAAATAGAGTTGTAGACAATTTTTTGGTGGTTGAAACTTTTGTTAAAGTCATTTGTTGGTCTTTTATTTTCTATGATTTTTTTGAAAATTTGAATAATTGTCTTTTCAAACCAGTTAATAGGAGTTAATAGGTAAGTTAATAGGAGGTTCATTATAAGTTGTAAGTATAGTGGTAAAAAAAAAAAAATGTAGAGTCGTGTAATCGGGGTGGTAGCCTTTAGTAGCCTTAGTTACAACCAGTGTTGTAAGTAGAATGATACATTTTAAAATATGTAGATAAAGATAAAAAAATAATATTATCTAAATGAGTATAAAATATATAGAACAATTTAACTATTATTAGATAGGTCTGTAAGGATAATTATTAACAAGCACATTTTTTATCTAGACAAAAAAAAAATATAATTTTGTTAATTTTACTTATCAAAAAACCAAAGTGCTAAAACTATTAAAATTGTATCAGATTTGGTATACATCTAGATTTAAAAATAGTTGTGTGACACTATGACAGATGTATCTTAATAATTTATTCATTATACCGTTATAATTCATAATATTGTACCTATTATTTTTATAAATTTTTAAATGACGGTTTAAACGATTTATCTATATAATTCAATTATTTATCTTAGTTATAAAATCAGATAAATTATTTCTCATCTAAACAGATCAGATAAAATGTAAAAATGTACCTATTTAGATAAACACAATACTAGTTACGGCTGTTGATTCTTCTAGACTTAGGTTGTATGAGGTCTTTGGTTATTTTAGTGCGTCTGCTTCATAATATAAAATAACCTTCACGCCATTATGAAATTGCGTAGACTTACCAAAGTATATGAGATTTTCAAAGGCCGAAATTCCTTCAGACGGCTGCAAAACAGCGTAGTTGATCATTCCGTCCACCCACAGGTAAAGTTTTCGGCGGTACCTGCCCACTCGTATGCTATGCCATTCCGACAGTGTCAACACTCGACCGCTACGGACCACTAGAACGTCGTCTTGACGTCGCGTTTCACCCACTATAGAAAAGTTTTATAAATATTCGGTTATGTTTAAAATTGACATTATAAGTCGTCATAGCGGCGTTTTCCGTACCTGTCTTTCTACAAGGAAAATTTGCAACAATGCATAAAATGATTAGGTGACAACAATATTTGAAGGCAACCTCATCGACAAAGATTTACAATGTTCTTTAAATATTTATCAAAAGTACAAAATACATGTGTGCATCGTAAATTGTATTTTTTTTTTTTATATAAACACTTGTAACTTTGTTAATACTTAATATTTCAAAAACGCCGACTAGATTGTCTTGAAAATATCATCATCTAAAAGCAGTGACGGATATCGAGGTTGGTGGATCGCCCCCTTCCCTCTCGGGATTATTGTCACCATTATATATTATTATCTACAACTTAATACTTAAGAATTTTTATAGGACATTTTGGAAATTACGATAATCCCCCTCCTTCTATGAGAAAGTCTGAAATAATCACCGGAGGGAATAAACCTCATAACCTCTGTGGATTTGAAAACCGCCCCTCCCCTCAGAACTAGGATATATCCGCTACTGTCTACAAGTTTTAATAATTCATATCAGGGTCCAGTTTATATCATATAAACTATCATACATCGATTACGCTCCTCTCACATCTGCACCTTTATTCCCACTTACCTGCTCACCATCTACATCACCCTATCCATCGTCATTCTTTCGTTTATTCAACATACCCACACATCACCTCTTAAAATCTCTAACCGCTTTTTCTTTGGCTTACCTTTTACCTACGGCAGCCTCCGCATCTACACGCGGTCAATAATTTACATATAATAATAATTATTATTGTCTAATAATATCATCGTGTTTCTCCTTCGATCATCATTTATCAACCACTAAATCATTATTTTATCAATACTATTATGGTATTGTTGCCTATTATACACCTTGAACAGAAATCCTGAGCTCGAGCACGCCGCCATACAGCGACAGGCACAGGAACTTCTTGCGCGCAACGTCGTGCTTGACGTAGAACACGACGCCGTGTTCCTCGGACGGCTTAATCTCGAGCTCGACGCTGAACTGTTGCGTGTTCAATTCCGCCGTGGCCACGGACAGAAACGAACGTTTGCCTAGGAATCTGACGTCGGACAGCCGCTCGTCCCTGTCGCAATGTTTGCCGGCGCGGCCAGCTGGACAATCGCACTCGTATCCGGCACCGACCGGCACACAGGTCGACCCGTCCGAACAGTTGTGCCGGTTCGCGTCGCACGCGTTGTACCGGTGCGAGCACACCGGCCCGAACCAGCCATCGTCGCACACGCACCTGTCGCCGTAAACAAAAAAAGAAAATCTATACTATATAACATTAACAATAACGAAAAGATCGGCGCGGAGTATCTGATGGTATTCAAAAGGATGGGTATACTTTAGTAGAATTTTCAAAGTTCCGATTTCGTTTGTTTTTAAAAATTTGTCACATCTATGGTATATAATAACGCATACGGTCCTATTTCGCGCCGTTTGAGCACGAACGACAGCAAGACTTACGCCAGCGAAGAGCCGTGCTGGATGCACGCGCCGTTGTGCTGGCATATGTTGTTCCGGTAGCATTCGTTGGTCGAACATTGGGACACAGACCTTCCGGTGTTCACCGTGGAATACGCACGCGATAGGCTCAGCGGGACCGTCACGTGGCCGGCCTTCAGCTTCACCGAACTCATGCAGCCCACGAACCCGGTGTGCAGCGGCAAATCGTGGGGTAAGTCGGCCATACCCGGAGACTCGTGGCCGCCTATACGGTAAAACGCAAACCATAAAAATAAATAAAAATAAAAAATGAATATTTTAATTGTTCGAAAACGAACATACGTTGTTAATTATAGTAGTATAGTTACCGACCTAAGTATAGAACGGGTTTGGTATTGAGCTGAGAAAGGCGGCCGACCGATTGACCGGTGACGTTCGGGAAGTTGTCTACCGCGAGCCACGCAGTCTTGCCGTCACGGCCAAATTTCACGACGTGTGGCCTTTTCGGTTGGAAATTTATCGGTTTGGGCGTGAAAATCCTCCTGGCGCCGGCTCCGAGGTTCCACGTCAACACTATGTATCCCTTGATGAAACTCAGGGCCACGTGATCGGTGGAAGCGTCGTGCCCAATGTACATCATCAGCGCGATCTGGTCCATAAAATTCGGCACGAAATGCATAGACAGTTGGAAACTTTGATGGATTTCGGCCGGTATGGAATACGAGGCGAACGACGAGAGCCCGCTTACGCTGCCCGGGAAAAATGGTTCACCGATCTCTAGGTCTATGGATGAATACGGTCTAATATAAATATTATTGCTTTCACGAATGATTATCATTCTATAAAGAAAGGGAAATATTAAAAAGATCCGGGAATCGGAAAAATATCTGAAAGAGAAAAAGTGTGTTTGGTATTTGAATGAAAACAATTGTATAATATCCAATTGTTATATAAAAACGAATAATGCCTAGGTAAAATAAGGCAACATTTTCAAATTAATCTGTCGATATTTTAATTATAATATTATAACCATTTGACATTTTTTCAATTCGGTAATCGGTTTTATGTAGATAAAAGTATTTTGGTCCAGTGGACACGTTTGAACATTTTGTTCGGGATTTATCATAATTTGTACTTTATGGTAAAAAAATAAATACTATTTTGAGTGCAATATACCTAGCAGTTTTTTTTTTATATATACACATTTACCATTCAAATGTTGACAAAAATCGTAAAAATAACTGGGTAAAAATGATGAAAACAAATTCTTTCGATTTATGTAAATATAATATTTTGGGCAACTCAAAATGTTTAATGATTCAATACGAGATTTATCATAGTTAATCAGTTTTAGTTGATGGTAGTCATTTTTTTTGTTATTTTTCTACCAGACATTTTTCTCCGATTAAAAATTGTATAGGAACTTTGGTATAGAAGTTTTGGTTTAGCTGTACATATTGATAAGGTTATTTTTGATTTTCTCTGCAGTTGGCAATTATTTGTTGATTTCTAGGTTATCTTGGCAATAAGAAATATAAGCTGGACAACTTTGCACGTGGGTGCAGCCACTGTTGTAGGTGAGAAGTTGGGAAGGTAGTAGAGGGGAAATTTAATATATGCAATGATAAACAATTGATTACAAAAGAACTATTCTGATCGGAGTTCAATTGATAGTGTTGCTTTGTCATACATGTCAATATAAAAAAAAGGCCGTAATATTTTTTTACTAATACCTTTAATATTTCGTAAATTTTCCTATTTTTACTCAATTTTTTTTTTGGTTTTTCACATTTGTTGGGAAAACTTCTGGGAAAATCAAAAAATCACCTTATTTAAGTACCTCCCCAGGCTACTTACTTTTAGAAAAAAATACTATTATTATAAATCCTAGTAGGATTTCTGGTAGAAAAGTTGTTTACAGAAATAAAAGTAAATAAATAAACATTTTTTTAAAATTATAAGCTTCATCGCTCCATTTAGAATCTAAAATACAACTAATGTTATTCTACTCAGAATCGTTTCTCGATAACAATCCTTTACTATTGCGTACAAATATAAATTAAATTATTCACATTAACTACAGATAAATCAATTGTTGAAAAGACACTCATTATCACAGAAACTATTAATTTTTTTTTTTTAAGCAATTTAAAGAATAAGTAGTTTTGAAACGTACATAACCGTTATTTTTTGCCATTCTTATTGTTGGGATTGAAAACTGTATACCTGTTAACCACTTTTGATTTTCAAAAAGCATCTATTAAAAATTGCATAAATAGATAAAGTTTTAGTTTAAATACATTTTGCTGTTAGAATTTTTAATTTCCGTCAACCCTCTGAAAATATATTTTACTTTTAAGTTTGGGTGGAGTACAAATGATAATAATGAGTACTTTACGAGGATTGATCACACTGTATTTTCTCCCAACCGCCCACCCAAATCAGTGGCACACCAATCAGCGGTATCTGGATTTTTTTTTTATATTTTCCCAGAAATAATGTCGTAATAATACGTAATATAATTACCGTGCTCGCAGTACATTCCGTGTTTCCCGAGAGGGCACAAACAAATGAATCCGCTTCCGGGATAGATTACGCATGTGGCGCCGAATTTGCACGGGTTATTTTCACACACAGACCGTTCACAGTTTTTTCCGACGAACCTTAAAAACCGTTCAAGACGTAGTTATTGAGATTAACATTAAACAAATATATATACATAAAATATATACCTATATTATCCCGTAAAACCACTTTAGAATATTATTACTTTACTATACACAGGTATCTAATGGTATTTATTATTAAATTTCGCTTTTTTATCACACTTATAATCTGTTGAGGTACGTCGTAATTGACAATGTGAAACAAATATTACTGTCAACATTATTAAACACATAATGTAGAACTGGCGGGGAATAAAATGACGTGGTTAGATTTCGCCTAAACGGTACGTTTAGTACCTACTATTTCCCGTGTTGAATTAATCCTAAAGTTATATGATATCTGAAAAATGCAATAGTTATTTTCATCTTCACTTATGAAGTTATTTTCACTCATGAAAAAATGAATTATTTCCTAATCGCATCGAATAGTGCATTCCCTATACTATTTCCTATGATATTTAGTATAAACTAAATGTGTTATAAATTAATTAAAAGACACAGTTTTAACATTTTTTTACAAAACGTACAGATTACCAGATTGAAGCTAAATGTTCAAATTTAGGGTAGGACACGATTCCGCACGGTTTTTACCTAAGATTTTAGTGCACGTATAGGTGTTTGACTATTTGACTTAGTTGTAGTGTTTTACGTAGATAATTCCTAACTATATTATAGTAACATTTATATAATGTACAACAGCGATTTAAAATCGTTATACATCATATAAGTTTTTATTGTATCATAAGGTAAGATATCCAATTTTAATATTATCCCCGTAATACGTTATACATTGTACCATGGCGCCATAACCACGTAATTTTGTGTAAAATGCGGCGTGTCATAGAAGTCAAATTTCTAATTAGTTAATATGGAAAACAAAGTGAGTTTATTATTTCGGAAACAGAACAATCACTTGTATTATTTAATCTCCATAAATATCTTTCTTTTTAAATTTAACTTTGACTTTTTCTAGTTCATCAAATTTTTTTATAACGTATTATTTAAGAAAATTAAACAAATTGAGGTCATTCGGAAAATTCATTGTTTGATCAAAATCGAACGGAATTATGTTCCCAAAAGGTAAAACGTACGGAATCGTGCTTTACGTAATATTTCTAAGTGCAATTAATGCATTATTGTCTATTCAATCTTAATTGTTTATTATTTTATTATTTGATGAAATAAATAGGACAATATGCTATATGTTCTGATGAGCTATTACAACAGAAAATCACCGTTTCTGGAAAAAAATAAAAATGGCACTAGTTGGATAGTTGCATTGTCACCACACCACAATAAAATATTAGGCGATATGCTTACCCAGAAGGACAGAGGCAGTTCCACGAATCACCAAACTCCACGCACGTAGCGTAACTTTGACAGGGACTCGATAAGCACGTGAGCGAAGCACACTCGATCACGCCGTGTCCGTCGGTAGCGTTTTCGTATACATTGTGAACCACTTCGTCGATCTGTGAAACGTTTAAAAGTAGAGAGGTATGTTAGATATTATTTTCACAATGTGTACTGTGTATATTATGATATGTGTACTAGTTAATTGCATGCATAGGGTGGTTAGGGGTCACGTACTCATATTTCCCCCATTGGATTTTTAATACAATAACTATAACTTATAAGTGTTTATCTAGAAACGCAATCTTAAAATGTTTATATTTTAGCCGAGCTACAAGGAAATCTTGATTTATTAATTAAAAATTAATTTCATAGATACACGATTTTTAAATTTCCATATTGTAGGTAATGATAAGACTATTATACGATTTATTCAGGAATAATATTTATTACATCTTCCGGATTTCAAGGCGTACCACTTGGTATGTACACGCAGTTATTTGAATATACTCGTCCAATCAGTACTCACCTGTAGACGCGATATGCAACCGGTGATCCCTACCGTGACCGGCAGTTCGGCCGTAGCGTTTTGACCGGACGGTATTCCACCCAAATATAAAAGCGCCACTTTTTTCACGGTTTCCGACGAGCCGTCCGCTGCTGCTTGTTCGCCACTCATGGCCAACGTTTCATTAACCCTAAGTGACGCTTTGCAATGTTCTGACATGGAGTGGGACATAGCGTGGTCCAAACTGAACGGGAAAACAATAAATTATTAGGTGCGCAATCATATACATATATTACCCGAAATACCATAAGACCCTATGTCCTGAGACGACCTCGTACATTTAGTATTTAATAAGTGTTATGATCTATGTGGTAATTTAGACGAAATTTTTGAAAAAAAAAACTCCGAAATCATTCGATGAGAAATACTATGGAAGTGTAGAAAATATTGGGAGAGTTAGGCTAAGGCTAGTTAAACAATTTTTCAAATAAAATGTTAGTAGAAGGGAAAACGCCAAGTGGAGGAATAGTTTTGTAATACCTATATTTAAATAAAAGGGTGTGTAAATTATAGAGTAACAGTATCAACATTTCGAAAAAAAAATTATGGAAAAGAGAATTAGAAGTGAGACAAAGTAGCACTTAAAGGAAGGGACTACAAGTATAAGTAGAACTAAAACAGAGTATAATATAGAGTATACGTTTGGAGAAACAGAATAAAAGGTTGATAGGACAAGAGAGCTAGTGACAATAGACGGTGACATAATAAGCAAAGACAGCGAGGTTGGAAGTTTTAAGTTCATACCTAGGATCTTCTGTACAAAAGAACGGTACTTTGACAAGGATTTTAAACATGCGGTTAAGTATGATTGGATAAAGTGGAGAGAAAAGTGAGGTACTTTATGATAACCAACATTATTTTTTAACATGGCAAATGGTCGTGACAGTATTTTTATGCTCGATCGTTAAGGGTTTCTTTTGAATTATTCATATACTTATTCCTTTCATACGCTGAAAAAATGGTCAACTGTGTCGTATTAAAGGCCTTTTATGCTCATTTGTGTTTCAACCATTAACACGGATAATAAAGTGTTATTAACTTACGCAGCTGTCAGCAACAGACGGTGGCCTGTGTTCACCCGGTATCTGGTTTCGCTGAACAACATTGTTTGCACTCCACAGGAGAATTGGAATTTTAACAGACCGTCCTGTAATTAATAAAACATAATTTAAATAGAAAATAGAAAATAGAAAATACACATCATAGTAAAACCAATAGATCCCTCACTACGATCCGAATCTAATATACGTGATATTTAAGTGTTTTAATTAGTATACAAATATTATATGATTAGTATGAAACTGTCTTCAATAGTTAAAGATGATAATTAAGGGGAGAAATCAAACAAATCGTAAAAAGCACCTAGGTAGCAAATATATTTAACTGAGTATAAAATATATTTGAAAATGTTACAACTGTAAACTGTTAGTTTTTAACTTTTGTTCATTAAGTAGGTTTGTATCTGCAAACTTTTATTTGATTAAATGCTTAATTTAAATCACTTTTAACGCTGTATTATTTTTCTTTTTAAGCATCACGAAATTTCATAAACGTTCGTCACTTATGATTGTCTTAAGGTAAGATTTCATTCTTTTCAGCGAAAAAAAGAACCTTGGAATAGTTAAAAAAGTTAAAATAATTTGAAGAATTTCCAAAGTATCAGGAAAAGCTTCTAGATTTAGGTTAAATTATTCATTATGTCATTAAAATCTGGTTTTAACATTATTTTCTGTTTTAGGAATTGACTAAGTAAATTCTGATGAAACGTTAAGCATATTAATTTAAAAGTATGCAAAATGGTTAGTTAAATGGTTCAAATGTGGAAATTATGTGTAAAGTAATGTGAACTGGAATAATTATTACAAATGTCAACAATTTTAAACAAGTCTATTTTTCTCAGAAAACCTATATCTAAAAACCTAGTGACTAAAACCTAATATGCAAACACTTGCACGCAAAAACCAAACTATTTAAATAAATAATAATAATAATAAAACTATGAAAGTAAAAATTATTATTACTATAAGACTATCTATATTGTAGGATGCAAATGATAATAAAATGAGCAAACATTTTATTATACTATTTTCAATAAAACTAATTATTGTTAAGCAATTATTATAAGCCATTAAACATTTTAATAATAATAATTTAAATTTTCCTTGAGGTTTGGTTAGGTTTAGTTAAGGGAACGTCCTTAAATTGTCGAAGTTTGTCACACTTTAACTACTGGTTATATTACATATAACCAGGTACCTATGCATTTATAATGCGTACCTACCTGTAAGTAAAGACACATGTACATGTGCGTAGTGACTTGTGCATAGAATAGGATACCGTTGGGTGCCAGAGTTCGAATTTCCATCGATATCTCGGCACCAGAGCGGTTCGAAAGTCTGTGGCTGAGAAACGACTGTCCCGTAAACGCCGACACTTTAATGGTGATTCTTTCGTTACAAACTTCACCTTTCCACCCGAACGAACATTTGCACTAAAAAAAAAAAAAAAAATCAAATAAAAAGACGATCGGCAATAGTTAATTCGGTATTCTTATAATGATTATGTGTACTCGCCTTGTGTCCAGTTTTTGATTTTTCGCACGAGCCGCCGTTCAGGCACAGCACGTTGGCGCAACTCTTGTCCATGGCACTCGGGAAGGGTTCTGTCACCGGGACGGCGAAGCTCGTCAAATTGTATTCAAAGTCGGTGGACATTTCGTCGTAAAAAGTTGTGAACGCAACGTCCTGTTCGGTGGCGATCGAATGCCGGTAATTTATCGTTGTTGCTCTCGAGGCTGGGGCCGTCGAAGTCTGCAGATGAGTCGTTTTCGACCACAACGACGTCAAGGAGGAAGCCGTTTCCGTTTTATCGGTTTTCGTCGAGCTCGCCGTGACGGTCGACCTGCGAGTGGTGCTCGTGTTCTCGTCGCCAACGCCGGCGTAGTCCGGGATTTCGGACGTGCCAGATACCGCGGGACGCGTCCACCCGGCGGTCGTGTCGTACGTGACTTCAATGTCGACAATCGTCCCAGGTTCGGCGTCTTCTCGGTCATGGGTGCTGGCGTCTGTGTTATCTTCTAGTTCATCGGTGTGGCCAAACGTCGCGGCCATGACCGTCGTTTTCGGCGCCGGATCCGTGGCTAGCGTATACGCCGGGCTCGATGAGCTCTCGGACGCTGTGTCCGACGGCGGCGTCGGCGGCGGCGGCGGTGGTGAGTACTCTTTGTCCGTCCAACCACCGGTCCCGGCGTCCGGCCAGTCCGGCGTGGACACAACAACCGAGTGCCCTTCCACGGATACTGTGGTCGGACGCTCTTCCGTGGTGGTGATGATACCGCCGCTGTCGTCGTCACTATCGCCGTCGGCGCTATCCGTGTAGTACGGCGTTATGACACCCGTGCAGTTGGCCGTACGTTCGTCGAGGTACGCGCACTCGCACGAATGGCCCGTCAGGCCTTTCGGGCACGTGCACGTATAACCGTCAACGCCGTCCACGCACGTCCCGCCGTTTTCGCACCTTCGTGAAAATAAATTAAAAGTTCCTAGTCAGTTTATATTGAATGGTGTCGGGGTTTTGACAAAATATAAAAGCAGGCATAAAATATGTCAACATGTAAACAAAATTGGCATTCAAGTCCTTCTATACATTTTTAACTAGTAGTATTGTAGAATTGTTTGTTGTTATTTGACACTATTCATAATGTGTTTTATGATTTCAAATATGATTGTCGGTCATGTTAGCGGTGCCACAGTAAAAGACATAAACAGTGTAATTAGTATGGTTGGCTAAAACCAGGGGTGTCATTTGTACATAGTGCCGAGAAATAGAAGAATATCATATCAGAACAAATTATTTTACAACACGTAGGCCGCATACTTTAAAATTCGGACTGGACACTTTGTACTCTAAAACACAAGCCCTGCTAAGCGAGTGTAAGCTGTGGGACAGAGTTAATATCGAACAAAAAAAAGAAAATGTTTGTGCTACAAGACCAATTTATATCTTAATGTAAATTATCTGTAATAGATCATAAATAATCATGATGCAATCTATTTTGTCACGATAATATACTATTAACGTAGCTAATAAATAATAATATATACAATTACTATTTTACGGTATCTATTAAAAGATTAACACAATCCCGTGAAATATTGTGCCCGTGGTAAATTCTTTCACTCTTAAATATATCCTTGATAATACGAGTAGACGTTGTTTTTTATAAAAATATGAAACATTTATTAAAACGCATCGAAATCTGTTGGTGAAACGGGAGTTATTGCCATCACGTACAAAATAGACGGTCGGTTTGTTGATGATAACGCGTGTGAAATAATATTTACTTACCCGATTCCTAGTTGGCATTCGTCATACTGGTACTGGCAGTATTTCCCGTGGTAGTCCGGTACACAGTAACAGACTGACGTCTGGTCCTCGATCAAACAAAGGGCGTGATTTTGACACTCGTGTTGATCGCACAGACGCAGCGCTACGTCGCAGTCTCGACCCGTAAAACCTGCAACAGACCAAAACAATAGAAATTAATCAAAAAACGAGCAGATATTGGTGATGGTTGTAGCATTGCTGGTGGGAAGTTGGGAAGGTAGGATACATAAAGTAATTCAACGATAAACCATTGCTAACGAAAAAACGATTCTAAGCGGAGTTTGGTTGATAGAGTTGCTTCGTCAACAACATATATGTCATATTATGGTAAAATAATAAATTACATTAATAATTACATACGCATTATATACTTTCTTTAATAGTATTTGTTTAATATATTGTACCTATTTTCCCGTTATTCGTAAGTTTTTCCTATTTATTGGGAAAACCAAAATATGACCTCCCTAAAGTACCTCCCCACTCCGATTTTCGTTTTGCTTGTAGAAAAGTTGTCCACAGAAAAAAAAATGAACATCATTGTAAAACCAATATATTCCTCGTTCCGCTCAGAATATAAAATTTCATAATTTAAAATTAATTTATAACGTTAAATAATATTTTAACTGATAAGAAAAATTAAAACAATGTTAAAAAACTCGATGAAGTTAAACGAAAAAAAATAAAATAACGTTTGAACATACAATAACGTTAAGCATTAATATTGTATAATGTTCGAATAACAGAATTCGTAAAAACGATACATTTTGTTTTTTAAATTCAATCCCTGATAAAATGTCCGAATAGTAATTTAGCCAAAAAATATATTGTGAGAAACTTATTTTTGTTGTAACAGTTTAATCGGACATGTAAAGTACCTACCTATTTTATTTTTATTAGTAATTAAATATAAAGAATATAATATATAAGTGTAACCGACATATTATTGTCATATTGAAAACAAAATGATTAATATTAATACACTCTCATAAATTACTCCTTGATTATTTTCTACCAGTCTTTTTTGAAAAAATCTCGAATGTCCATTTCGATGTTGTTGCTAACGGTATGACAAAGCCGTATGACTAACTCTGAGCTCACATGTATCGTTTATGAAAAAATTTTAATTCATCCGTTATGGTGTAAAATATTATAGTGTATGTTTAAAATATTTATTTTTTTTTCAAATACCCAGAGGCTTTATTATTTAAACGACTTGAAGGTCTTTATAAATATATTTAACAATATATATACATATATATTAAATACTAGATGTTAATGTATACTTTACACGTTTATGAAGTCACACTTCCAATGAAATGGCTCCTATCCTTAATTTAAATTCTTAAACTAAGTCGTATGGCTTCAGACACTTAAGGCGTCTAACATCTTTGGAGTTGTCTAATAATTGGGTGGCCAGTGGATTAACATGGTGACCTAATCTTTTCTCGTGTTTGTGAGCAAACTTTTGGATTTCGTTAGTTATTGTAGGCAGCATCATATCGCGGTGAATGGCATCGTTTCGTTCAAACCAGTAGGCTGCAGTGATGGTCCGAAGAGCAATGTTTTGACAGCGTTGTATCAATGTTAGACTTACTGGCACGACCAAAAAGTTCAATGCCATAAATGGTTTTATGATAGCTACATATAGCAGACGTTTGTTTTCTATAGTTAACTCGGAGTGGGGTCCAACTAACCAATAGAGCTTTCGCATTTTTTCTTTAATCTGTATTTTTTTCTAGCGGACATTCTAGCGGATTCTTACTTGTCGACAAAATTGCCGTATCATCGGGAAACATAGTTGCCATCGTTTGGTACATCAGCTGTGTAGTGTAGGTACAGGATAGCTCCCAAGATATTACCTTGTGGTACTCCAGCTGATATTTGATGAACGCAATTCGATGAAGAAACCTTTGTACCAGACTTTGTCAAAAGTCTGAGCTACGTCAAGGAACATTTCATAGCAGTAATATTTTTCTTTCAGAGCTTTACTTATAACATTAGTGATGCGATGGACTTGTTTGATTGTCGAATGTATGTTGCGGGATCCAAACTGATGGTCCGGTATAAGATGTATTGATTTTAGACGTTTAAGTAAAAGTTTCTTTAAAAGTTTAGACAAGGAAGGAGTAATATCGGTTGGTATGATGTGACATCTGGTGTTTTTCCCGGTTTGAGCAATATAATCACTTGTGCTCTTTTCCATTGTTCCGGAATGTATTCTAAGCGAAAAATAGCATTGTATATGTGCATAAGATAAATGATAGCTTTCTTTGGAAGCTCTATAAGTATTTTTGGACTTATTTTTTTCATAGCATGGTGCTTTTTTGGAGTTTAAGTTGTCTCTATTACTTTAGCAACTTCTAATGGAGTGAAATGTTTAATATTTTCAAGTTTTGCATTAAGCTGTTAACACTGCACAAAATCAAGCTCAGAGTCGATGTCATGTAGTAGAAATACGCGTTTAACATATCGAGCGTATATTTTTGCTTTTTTTTGTTCACTGCAAGCCCAGGTGCCATCTTCCTTGTGGATGGGTGGTATCCGAACACGAGGTCTCTTCATATGTCTTGTGGTTTTCCATAACGAATAATCGGTATTATCTGTTGAAGAGAGACCACTTACGTGTAATCTGAAAGTTTCATTTTTCATTTCGTTAATTTTATTATGAAGTATTTTGCTTACATGGTTCCATTGGGTTTTATCCATTGGATACCGTGTATTATGCCATGTTCTTCTCACTCGGCTTTTTGTTGAACTAGATTTCTTATATCCAGTGGGTATGTAGTCTGGCCTTACCAATAGTAGCTGCCGTAATTTTTGCCGCATTAATAATATCGTCGATCAATTTTTTAACTGCATTTTCAATGTCGGCTATTGTTCTTGTTCTAATTAAAAGAGTTATATTTTTTTCGAGAGCACTTCTAAATAAGTCCCAATTCGTTTTTTTGTTTGTTATGGAAGTTTTTTTTTTTGTTTCACTATTACAATAAAACTTCTACATAATTTGATCATATTCCTTCAATTACATTGAAGTCAATAATATCAGATAGTTTATTTGGGTCAGATGGCCGGTAGGTTGGTTTTATAGGTGAGATGAATTGTGCTTCAATTTTATTTTCAGATTTAAACAAATCACGTCCTTTGGTGGTAATCAATCTCGATCCCCAGAAAGGATGTTTGGCATTATAATCACCTCCAGTAATGAATCTACTACCCAGAGTCCGGAAGAATTCAGTAAACTTGTTGTCATCTACTTAATATTGTGGTGGACAATATATAGCAAATATAGTAAGTTAATTGTTGCCGTTATTTACACGGACACTTGTTTGTAAATATTTTTGTGGATGTTTTTCAGGTTCGTGGTGTTTGATAAATAAACCAATAAATAAATATTTATTATCTATATATTTTCGATAATGATAACTACAAACGTAACGATAATGCTGTTATAATAATATTATATTATATACTATAAGAGTGATGTTGTATTAAAACCATTAAAAGTCAAAAACACAAATTATAATTTCTCTATCACACAGTCGACACATAATTCAGTAGTTTTACAGAAGTAAACTTGTTTTTAATTCGATAAAACGGACCTGCGCACCACTGATTATGTCAATAATATAAAATAATCATACCGAAAAGGCATACACAAGAGTACGACGTCTGCTGGTTGATACACACGCCTCCGTTCCTGCATGGCCGCGAATCACATTGGTCGATTTCATCCTCGCAAGTTCTCCCGTTCCATCCTGAAACGTCACGCAGAACATAACATTAGTAAATATATAGACAATGGATTTATAATTAATGGGAATTTAACGGGTTTTTTTTTGAACGATTTTCCTGGCTCGAAGGAGAGAACCGGAAAGAATATTAAGTAATTAATACAAATCACGTTTTAAAAAAGTTGTTCTAGGATAATGGAGACGGGTGTAGCCACTGTTGTAAGCGGAAAGTTGGGAAGGCAATAGAAGGAGATTTTATATCTGTAAGCAACGAAAAACAATTACTAATGAAAAACCGATTTTGAGCAGATTTTAGTTGATAGTGATGCATTGTCAACAATGTGTATATTATATTATGGTAAAATAATTGTTTGTATTTTTTGCCCTTTTCCCTAAACAAGGAAAAAACAAATGCGTTTTAGGAGTACTTATATAGAGTCCTAAGCCATAGCTTGTTCGGACTATTTAATCACAAAATACCCTGTGATTTATTGTTGTGCAAATTTTTCTATTAAAAATCTTGCTCGCTCCGATGTTTCAAATGTAACTTATTTTCCGAAAGGAAATTTTATCTACATGATAATATAGGGAGGTAATTTTCAAGCGGTTTTCATAATATCTATGATAAACCGAGATAAAATGTCAGAAAAACGGAAAATGTACGAAATGTAGGTATTAGTAAAATAATATTATAGCCTTTTTTTCTGTGTACAACTTTTTTATCAGCAATTTTGCTCCGATTTACAATATCACTTTTTCTGAAAGGAAATTTAACTGGGAAGATACATTAGGTTTTTTTTCGATTTTCTCAAAAGTTTTTCTAGCAAATGTAAAAACCTAGGAAAAACACATGGGGAAACCGGGAAAAACGTAGGAAAAACGGGAAAATCGGTACATTAAACAAATACTGTTATAACTATATAATGTCTATATAATTATTTTACCAAAATATAACATATATATTGTTGAAAAAGTATCACTATCAATTGAACTCCGCTCAGAATCGTTTTTTCGTAAGCAATGGTTCATCGTTGCTTATAGATATAACATTAAATTCCCTTCTGTATCCTACCTTCCCAACTTCCTACCTACAACAGTGGATGCATCTACGTGCGAAGTATGTACGGACATACTTCTTTTTAACGGTTTGTTTGGAGATAATTTCTAAGATTATTTAGGGAAAGGGAAACATTACAGAATGGTTTTAATTATTTATAGTTTTATTATAATTTTTTTTTATTGTAATTCAATGTAGTCTTTCTTTGGTATGTACTACACGGATAAAATTGTTTGACCAAATAGAAATACTTGAAAATTTATCGTGATGTTGGTTTTTAGAAACATTTTTTCCCATTTATTGGGAAAACTCCTGAGAAATTTAAAAAATTACTCTTAAAGTATCTCCTCAGTCCGATTTCTTTTAGAAAAAGTGCCATCACTGCAAATCGGAGCAAAATTGCTGGTAGAAAAGTTGTTCACAGTAAAAAAAATCGTAATATTTTACTAATATATTTCGTTCGTTTTTCCATTTTTTCTCCGTTTTTTTCGGTTTTCACATTTGATGAGAAAAATTTTTGAAAAAATCGAAATATGACCTGTTTAAAGTACCACCCTAAGAAAATTTCCTTTCAGAAAAAGGTCTATTTCGTACACATTGGGTTAAGCTTTCTGGTAGAATTTTTGTACACAATATATATATAAAAAAAAAAATAAACATCTTTGTAAAACCAATACATTTTTCGCTACACTCAGAATCTAAAATCACATTCGTCAGTAAAAATATCAAAATATCAAATCAATATCAGTGAGTATATATAATAATAATAATAATAAAATTTAAAACAATCACTCAGGGGCGTCATTCGGGGGAGGGGGGACAGGTTGTGCGGTCGCACCCCTTACTTTTAAATTAGTTTCAATTGGCCTGCGGAAATAATGCACCATATTTTTTTTATAAAATTAAATTATAATTTTATATTGACAGTAAACACTTATATCGTACTATCAAGTAATTGAGTAATCTATGAATGTATCGTGTATTTTATAACTTATCAGACATCATCTATCGCCGTTTTTACTGCATTTATCATCTTCAATATTTGTATGCATTATTTATTGGTTTTCATAGGTATCAATTATTTATTATGTTTTAGATTTTAAACAGATTTTTAACAGTGGTTTTTTACTGTTTATGTTTATTGCGATTCATAATCTATTGAAACAATTAAAAGCCTAATTACATTAGACTGTTTTGATTTTTAATTTATTTTTTTCGAATTAAGACTGGGAATTGCTTCCTTGTGGTCTCAAACTTAACCAAACTTTTTTGAGCCCAAAAAATAATTGTTCAGAACTTGCTCAATGAGTTCATTGCAAATTTAGTTTTTCAATTTAAATAATATAGAAAAATAACGATACTTTAAAATATTAAATTTATTCATTAAGTTCGAAAGTTACGAGGTTGTACATAGTTTTTCCTTTAAGATCACAAAAAATACATAAGATTCACAGAAATCTATATAATTTTTCAGATTTTTTTTAAATTTTCAACTCTTTATAGTCTATGAAGTTGATCTATAATCAAGAGCTAATAGGAAGTCTTTTCATAACTTAAAAAATGAATTCTACTGAAGATTTCTAGTAGAAAGTGGCGAATTTAGAGATTTTTATAATATGAATAAAAAAGCTATAAAAATTTAATTTTTATATATTTCTATAAATGAGCTATTCTTATAACAGTAAAATTTTACTTAATTCCAAGTGAATCCTATGTATTTTTTTGTGATCTTTAAGAAAAAACTATGCACAACCTCGTAACTTTCGAACTTAATGATTAAATGTGATTTAATTGAAAGTATTGTTAATTTCTTATTTTTTTACGGGTTTTATTATAAATTTGTATATATGTTAAAGATTTAAGTGTTATATAATATTATATAGGTTAGGTTGAGTGTAGTGTTTTATTTTCCTTTTCTAAATGTGATCAAATTTTTAAAACATTTGTTAAATTTTTGAGTTATTTATAGACATTAAAATTGTTCAAGTTTTTTACGTAATTTTTATTCGGCACATACTTCATGGATAAAATTGTTAACCAAACAGAAATGCTTGAAAATTTATTAGGGGATTCGTTATGAGTTGTACTTAGTAGCCAACAAGAAAAAGTTGAGTTTAATGTAGTATTTTTTTTATAAGTATTTTAATACTTATCAAATTTTGACGAAAATCGTAATATTACTTACGGTTATTCAAAACATATATAACTGAGCGCTGCTCAGAATTGTTTTTTGTTTGCAATGTTTTATCGTTGTGTATATATACATTAAATTCCCCTTTTTATCTTACCCTTTCAACTTCTCAACCACAACATTGGTCCACCCAGGTACGTTTACAAAAAAAAAATTCAGGGAGGTTTAAGGTTTTACACTTTCATACTCTTATAATAAAAAAAGTTTTCATACTTTTAACTGTAGTACTATTTATTTTTCATTGAAAATGTTAATATTTTATAACATTTATTTTAGATTCTAAGTGGAACGAGGAAAGTATTCGTTTTACAATGATGTAGACAATTATTCTATCTGCAATTTTCCTCTGATTTACAATGATAGCACTTTTTTTGAAAGAAAATCCGACTGGGGTTGTACTGTAGGGACGTCATTTCTTGATTTTTTCAGGAATTTTCCCAATAAATGGGAAAACCCGAGAAAAAACACGGGAAAACCGGAAAAAACGTAGAAAATATGAGAAAATAAGTTCAGTAATCAATTATTATTAAAGAAAATATACATATGTGAATATTTTACCCTAACATACAAGTATATGTATATTATTGAAAATATACATATACTATACCCTCCCCTTTTACACGTGCCTGGGTCCTCCCATCTTGCGAAGTATGTCCGTCTTATTCAATATAAATATATGTTCATTGTTTTTTCATTTAGTTGGCATACAATTTTTTATCTTCTAAATCTATTCAAAATTATATTATTCTATTACTACAAAAAAATATTATAATCTCGGATTTAACCAAGAATAGTTAAATAATAACAATACTATCGTGTTTATGTTTTTACTGTGTATAGTCTACGTGCAACACCACCACAAAGGTATAAACTAGCTGTAGTCACTGTTGTAGATTTAGACATTTATTAGGTAGTAGGGGAAGGACTTTCCACAAGGGTGAAGTTCCTCCTCGTAGCATTAGGATATACTCACAAAAAAAAAAAAAAACTTTAATATTGGTTATTTTTCGTAAAACTATTGATTAAATATATATTTATATATATATAAGTTATAATTAAAAAGTTATCTGATTTTATTAATGCAGTTAAACAGTAACGTTGTAGTAGTTAAAAAATAGATTAGTTCGCTCCTTACATTAATTGTGAAATGCACGGTGTTTTATATTAAACTACCAATGCTGAAGGAATACCCACCCCTTAAATCAGACGTGACAGCCGCCACACCTACCATAAATTTTCGATGCCACTGTGTATTATTATATAATTATATTATGACCTGATGTAGTACTAACACAAACAAAATACAATTACACGACTATGATAATTATTAATATTTATAATTTACGATCTTACGTACGTGTATGATGGTATACAGTTTATACTATAAGTATATACAACTGTAATATGCAATGCATGAGCAAATATGAAAGTGGCAAACGTTTGATAACGGAGAAATTCAGCGTGGTATAAACTATAAAAATATAAGTTATATTGGATTCTGAGCGTATCGAGGGTAGTGAGGGATTTCTACCAAAAGTGGATCTTTCCCTTTTTCACCATTACTGGTGTCCACCAAATGAGAAAAATGACCGAATTATAACGGATTAAAAAAATAGAATAATTGGAAGGTAATATAACATTGCGTTTAATAAAATAATATACTAAATACCTATAATATATTGTTTTAAATTTCAGGTACAATTTTGTGAAAAATATATAATAGTAAAGTATACTAATTATATATGTATATATATACATTGTATAACATACATAGATAAGGTATACCAAACATTTTTTTTTAAATTTAACAATTTGTTTAAGAAAATAAAATATTTTCTACATTAAACAATATATACGATACGCTATACCATATATCATTTTTTAAAATTAAATTTTAAATTTTCTAACGTATACATTGTACATTATAATAATATGTATGCTGGGTTGGATACTCATATAAATCTGGAAATTGTAAATCTGGACCACACATATCTGGGCCTTACAAATTTGGACTACATATTATATTATAGATCCGATTAAGGGATTAGTGTAGGCCATAAATATACCGTTACATAAAATACAATATTTAAGGGGCTATGTACAGGTAATTTGTTTTACATTTATTAACTAAACGCTTGTATATACACTCTTTATTCGCCAACGTTAAATTATTGTTCTTTCCGTATTTCTAGTAGTAAGCTTAATGTCAAAATTCTGTGGAGATTTGAACGCCCCATTATAAAATTGTATTTTACATTTAAGCCAATAATTTAACGTTGGCAAATAAAGGGTTTGTGTAAAAACGTTTAGTAATAAAAATACAAATTGTCTATACATAGCCCCTTAATATATTTTATTTTATGAAATAATATATTTATGGCTTACACTTACCCCTTAATCGCATATATATAGTATATAGTCTAGATTTGTACCGTCCATATTAATAGGGTCCAGTTTTCTACGTCTAACTTCAGATTTTTACGGTCCAGATTTGTACTGTCCAGATTTTTACGGATATCAAAATTCTATTTTCCAGATAAGTACGATTCAGATTTACAGATTCTATATTTGTAGGGTCCAGATATGTGCGGTCCTGATTTAAAATTTTCAGATATGTACGATCTCCCGCCGGGTTGCGTAAATAATCACTAAACATTAATTTTTGCACGAGTAAAACTCTCAAGAAAAACAAATTAAATATATTTAGAAGATACCGGCAAGTCCAGAAAATACACCTACAGCTTTTTTTAAATCGATATTATTTACTTTTCCTTTTTTAACATTTAGTACCATAAGATCATTTAGCCAAATTAAATAATTTGTCATGTTTCCATAATAGCAACCGCGTTAACCGTTCAATCTCGAAGTTATTCAACTTTTGGCCATGTGGTTCCTTATCTATACCAATACTCTGTAGCCTGTAAGTATCAACTAGTATATCTGGTAGATTATAAAATACAAGATACATCCATTGTGTTTACTTAATTATTTGACAGCACTATATTTATTTACTGACAGTAAAATACTAATACTGTTAATATAAAAATTTAATTATAATTATATAAAAAAAATTGTGCACTTTTTCAGTAAGCCAATCGGAAATATTTTAGAAGTAAGGGGTGCGACCGCACGTTTTGAATTTTCTAGGTTATTTACGTAGTTTTCTTTCATATTGTCGGTATTATTTGGTTAAAATTATTTGACCGAAAAGAAACGCTTCAAAATTGAATACAATGTTCTTTATAAGTTTTACTAAAAAAATTTGAGCGTAGTGTAGTAGTTTTTTTTATAGGGGTTTACAGATAAAATGTTGACAAAAATCATAAAAATTATGGCATTGGGAAACATGTATAACACTGAACTTCGCTCAGACTCGTATTTTGTTAGCAATGATTTATCTTTGCTTACATATTTTAAATTAAATTACTCTAGGTATTCTACATTCCTAACTTTCACTTAAAACTTACAGTAATGATACATCAGCATTAGCGAACCTAGACAATTTTACGAGGACAGGCCAATTGATAAATATGAAAACAATTCTAATTACCTACAACTCTTTACTCTTTGGATTAAGTTATCGATCATAATCCAATAGTATCGGGAAAAAAATATTACTTGATATAACATAAAATAATCGTTAAATTATTTCTATATGATTAAATTCCAAGGAATTAAAATATCAAACCCAAATTTACAGTAGGTATGAACGCATTGTGTGTACAGTGTATACATATTTATTTAAACAAACAATTGTAGGCATTTTAAATGCGGAAATTAATTTTAATTTAAAGTTTTATTTAGTCAATTAATTAGTCTGTTATCCAGTTAGTATATGGTCAGGTCACGGCCTGAATGGCCTGACCCGTAGTTTCGTCTATTTACGTCATCAATATTAGTTTTTTTTTATATTGCATATATTTATGTGTGCTTTTTTACATATAGCGTATATCATATTTATAACGATAAGAAATAATAACTTATTTTCGCTAATAAAATAATAAATATTAAATGATATTATAACAAAAAAATAAAATGTATTTTTTAAACTAGTAATTTATTTTATTTATAGGTTCATTTTTTTTCGTGAAATTTAATTGTTAAGGAATTTTGTTCCGTGTTATAACGACTGTTTTTTATATGCTGTTCAAATCAATTGTTTTAAATTTAAACTTTTTGTTTAAAACACTGTTTAATAATGAGTTTAAAAAAAAAATAATTTTAACACAAAATCAATCCTGGTGTTACATAATATTACATACCTGGAGAACAGTTGCACGAAAAAGATACACCGGGACCTTCGATGCACTCGCCTCCGTTTTTGCATTGTATTTCGCCAGTCGAATTACATACGGCCAAATCGATTTCACAATTTGTCCCTGAAAACGTAAATATGGATATCAATAAATCTCTGAATGTTTTGATTTTTGTTTTATTTTTAATGACTATAATATACGTATTATGTACCTATTGAACATTATACAACCGATTAATAGTACCTAGATCATTTCGGTTTGTACAAATTATATTCTATTTACAAATTCCAAAACACATGATAATAATATAGATACAGTAGATACAGTGGAACTCCAACTATCCGAACGTCATCAACCGAACGTCCAATTATTATCCGGACAAGCAAGACAAAAATAAAATTTTAAATTTAAATTTTAACTCGAAATCGTATTTATTTTCGTGTCTTTTCTTTCAAAAAACATTTATTGTTTGTTAATTTTCATTTTGAAATCTATAAAACTACCATCAGTACATCTGTGTTTAATGTTTTTTCTAGCTTCAAATGAAAACTGTTGACTATTGCTATTAATTTGAATTTCAAATATAAAATTATTATGAGTATTTTGTTAATTTTTTTTTTTACTTTTACTCAAAACTTTCAAATTTTTCAAAAAAATATTTTAAAAAGTTTAAATTTTAAAATGTGTTTTATTCATTTATGTCAGCGGTCTTCACTAAACATGTGGCATTTTAACAAATTTTAAGCGGCCCGTACTAAAACGTCTAAAACTGAATTGTACATTCTACACTTTAAATGTGTAAATAAAGTAAATACATGCAATTATACTTTTTATTTATCTTATCTTATTATTCTTATTTATTATACCAGTTAATTTTTAATTTAAACTGAATTACCAGTTTTTACCTTAGACAGATAATATTATTAAACGTATATATACAAATAGGTACAACATAATTGTACCTATCTAAACTTGTACCTTTTTTTTATAAGTAAAAGAAAGAATTAATTTATATAAAAAAAAAAAATACGTTAAAAAAGAGATTTTTTCAAGTTAATATTGCATAAAAATTCGTATTGATATACTGTATGCGGCCTGCAAGTAATTTTCATAAATTATATTTGGCCCTTTTCAGAATCCTAGTTTTGACCGCTGATTAATGTCCTAAAAATGTATTATTTAACTCGGGCGATGCCGGACGAATCATTTAATACATATATACAGGGTGATTCACTAAGCGTGCTTAACCCATTTTTTGGTTAAATTTAGCATATATTCAAATTCTGATATTTTAAATTTTTATGTGAAGTTAAAGCCGATATTTTTGAATATGTACCATACGTATAACTTTGTATAACTTTTAATATGTGTTACAATACTTAAATTTCAATATTATATGGATATTTGCGTATCCGGGCCATCCTTAACATTAATTAGTCCGGATAATTGGAGTTCTACTGTACATCAAGCAGTAATTAATTGAATAATGTGTGATTTATATACATTTGTATGTATAACGCATGATCACAAGAGCTATAGGAAAATGTTCTCCTCAACGGCATACTATAATTGCCTTTTAATAGTATTATGTAACATAATGATTTTTATCACATTATCATACAAATTTACAATAGTATTATAACGTTACATTCGCTTCTAACAGACATTACATAAAGGCGTGTTTATTTTGAATATTAGTCAAATTATATGTTTACTAATATACCGCAAATATATTCAAAAATTTAAACTTGTATGTATATAATATATAACTATACACATGTACAATTAAATATTATGTGCATTTTTAATGAATCTTTTGAAAAAAAAAAACTCGCATAATTACTCCCTAATACAGGCGAGTTATTTAGAAACTCGGGGTTTCGTTCTCTCGTTTTCATCGCAGTTCGAGCGGAATAGTTCATAAATCGTGAACATAAACGAAAACGTCGAAAACTGACCAGTGTATCCGACAGGGCATTGACACGTAAACCCGTTGGTGAAATCCATACAGGTCCCATTATTTTGGCACGGATTCGACAGGCATTCGTTAACGTTGATCTCGCAGTCGTGTCCTGAGGGTGATAGAAAAAACAATATAAAATTCGCACTAATGAATCGATGAGTTAATAAACGAATTTTATAATTTACCGGCGTATCCTTCGGGACACGAACAATTGTAATCAGCTATGCCGTCCAAACACAGACCTCCGTTGAGACACGGTGAAGACCAACATTCGTCCCAGTTGGTCTGACACCGGACACCTGTATAGCCGTCGATACAATAACACGTGTATGAACTGCGTACGTATATCGTAACAATAAAACAACAAACAATTCTATTATAATGTAATATCTTCAGTGAACTAATTGTAATAATCAGTACAAAGAAATTTATAATAAATTTGAAGACAACTAGTAAAAAAAAGAAAATAGAAAAAATTTAATTAAATGGAATCAAATCATTGAAACAAAAACTGTTTTTTTTTTTTTTTTTTGAGTAAGGATTAAGATTAATTTTAGACCACTGTTAAGAAGTTGTTAACAGATAGAAAAAAAAATGTAAAACGCATTAGAGTAAAACTAATACGCTCAGAATTTAAAATAATACAATTTGCAGTTTTGAAGGAAATATTATAATTTATAGTATTTATTTGATTCGAATATTTATGTGTAGTACTGTTTTTACAATTCGTACTTATCGACGAGGAATTGTATTGTATTCGGAAAATGATTTTAACAAATTTTACCAAACAATTATATACCTGTTGAGCTGATCAACGCACACACCATGTGCACAGGGGCTGCTCAGGCAGGCGAAACCGGCGTGAACGTGGGCCGGAGTGGAGCCTAACAGCATGGCAGCCGCTGTGAAGACGACGACGGCGACCGACACTACCGGCGGTGGCATTTAGCATTTCCGGTTGGGATCCGCTGTGAGAAGGATAAGGATGAGGACTAAAGAGCAAAAGTGTAAATAAGAAAATGTTGACGTGGTGGGAGACGGAATAGCCGGAGGTGGCGACAGGCGTTTATATGGATAGTTTTCAACTCGTGTTTTTCAGATCGCAAGCAGAAGTCTGAGGTGGGCACACCGCGTGACACGGTCCACGAAAGCAAGTTTTTCGAGCGTTAGGTGACTCGAGTTACTGTGTAGACCTGAGCTAAACAGATAAATGTATAAATTAAGTCCACATACAAGTAGGCGTGTGTGTTATTATGTACAAAGTTTCAATTTTGGACAAAAAATGAGTTAAGAAAAAAAAAGGCTATTTTTTGGATTAGTTGGGAATTGTTTCTGCCATTTTTAAATATATTGATTTTCTTGGCTAAAGTATATATCATAAAATGACTCGAGGAAATATTTTTGCTCATAACCCCAAAAGCCTTTTTAAGTTAGACAGATTTTTTACTACATACATATGTGTAGTATATGCCTATAATATGGCCATAATATGTTATGGTACATACTCGTTATTTTTAACTGGAAATATACAACACGTTTGAGTACACTACTGATTTATACAAAATATAAATACAATAATAATTTTAAAATAAAATGAATAGTTCATTTAGAAATGTGTACAGTGCACTGTAATAGGTACCTATAGTACCTACGTATTATCATAGTAATTGTATTTTATGATTTATGAACTTTTGAAAATGATACACTGTCTTTATAAGATTTGTTATTTTGGATACCCCACAGATGCATAAAACTACTAGATAGGTGACTTTGAAATTCATGATTTATGATATAATAACTCGATAAAGACAGGATTTGGTTAAGTCAGGCAAAACATTTATTCTTAATTGGTCCAAGATCACTGGTAAAAATATTAAATAATCGGATCAAAATGAAAGTAGGTAAATAATATATAAAATATAAAAATCGCGTAACAAAATAAATAATTACTTTGAAACTATAACAAATAATTAAACATTACTAAAATCTGTTTAGGAGAATTAAATAATTCAACCTTCTAGTGGCGTCACTTAAATTGGGTAATAGGCTCTAAACGATTTTAAAATGAATATAAAAATATTGCGCCAATATAACATTAAAGTATTAACATTAGATATATTAATTAGTACCTAAACGTGTTATATTTCTAAAGATTTTTCTGTATTATTTAAATTCTAAGTGGAACGAAAAATTAATTCGTTTTACTGTGATGTTTGTGGGGGGGGGAGGGTTAGCTTCACAGATGTCAAACCACAATCGTCTAAAGATGTTGATTTTACCGGAAAATGTACCCTGGCTGGATTATTTTTTTTAATTCGCTAAAATAAACTAATAAAACAAAATGTTGTTTATTATCACTGTAATTTTGAAATTATAGTGGTGTATAATGTAACAGTTTAGACAGTGTTGTAAACGATTCTTGAAATTCGTTTACTATGATTTCTCACATGGGATATTACCAGAGCCGACCAGTGAGGGCTTCACAGATAAAGAGCTTAAATATTAAAGAGAATGGCAAACCGGTGTGATAGCAGCCGTTAATTGTCCAAATCGTTTTCGCGTTTTTAAAATTTAAACATTGTAGCTTGGGGTTTTGGGTTCTTTTAACTTGTCACCTATTTAACCAGCTAAATTTTCAATTTTTATTAAAAACAATTTTTAAGAATAAATTTACGGGGTATTTGTTAAAAGAAGAAAATTTATATTTTTATCAAATTTTCAGGGAAAACAAAAAATTATTTTTATCTTATTAAATTTTCATATTATATCGATCATACAGCTTCGTTTAAATAATATTTTATTGAAAATCGTTCGAGTTTGCATAAAAAACCTTGTATTATCTTAGGACACAGTTCCTTTTCAATAAATTATAATAATTTTTAATAATAACAATAGTATAACACTTGTCTTTTAAAATAATATAGAAAATATGTATTTATTCCAGCTAATCATATAGATAACAATGCTAAAAGATATCAAACTTTGAATATTAAACAAATTAATATCACTCTTACAAAGAAAAAAACAATATTTTTCTATTAAATTAAAACAAAAATATAAACTTATATTAGTTTATTGAATTAGTATTTAATTAGGTAATAAATTATCAACATGTTTTTTAATGTCCTGTTATTCAGTATTTTTAAGAGGAACTTTCCTACTTGGATATATAATTTGATTTTGTAGATAAATTTTAAAATTTGACTTATTATAATATTGTACTAATGAAAAAGTGTGTTTTAAAATTCCATCAATAAAAGGGAGAACTGTAATAAATTCTGGCAAATTATTGTAACTGACTAAAAATAGAAGTGGCAAAATCGTTTCTCGTTTCTTTTAGGTAATATAATATTGACTATAATTTTCTAAAATTTTAATATTATCAACTCTCCAGAAAATTTAATTTTATTCACTTTGAATTTTGTTTTATAATTGTGATATACGATGTCATCGTCGTTATACATTCATGGTAGGTATTATTAACGTTTTGAAGACTATAGATGTATGAGTGCAAAATGAACTAATTTTTTTTTCCAAAGGTGGGTGGGTATATTGATAACTTGTGTTTTGTGTCCACGTTTTTCGAAATAGTTTGCGCTTTTAGAACAATAGTAATCTCCAAAAGTTTTGCATGAGATTTTTAAAAATTCGATTTTGAAAGATTATGTAAGGTTAGATGCTGGCGTAACATCACGCTGGCACCTGTAGTTAGAAGATAAATTGTATAGGATTTGGGTGGGTGTACAAATGAAAATGTAATTACAAATCTGTAAAAACCTATAAAATCTATAAAAGAGGTTGAAGATCACTGTTGTAAACCATAGGATTTATTGTATTATTTCGTCTTTTTTTTCGTGCTTTTGTCTTGTTATATCGCGCGTCGTATAGGTATTGAGATAAAAAAATTAATACAATTAATAATAATTTTAGTCAATTGTCCGATTAACAATTAAACGAACACGTAGGAACAACGGTGCTTCAACAGTTAATAATAATAATAGTATGATAACTGTAAGCGGCGAAACTAGACGTAAAATAAGTGTTAAATGTATTCATAACATCGAGTTAGTTTTTTCGTATATTTCGTTGTGTTCGCATTTGTCTCTTTGTACCTAAAAAAGCGGTCTGTTTTGCTTAATCATATTATAATCCCGATTGTGCGATGCTAGAACAGCACCTCTTTTGGGATTATTTTAAGTCAATCGGCATTAGGTTAACTTTCATTTTTATACAAATTATCACCGATTTATATATTTGATAAACTACATATACGGGAAATTTTCTAAAGATTTTGTTCACTTGATGAAGAGAATGTTTTCATGTGTCTGAATGAACTACCAGCGTCGTGTCAATAAGGTATAATTGTTAATTCATTAATTAATTGATCAATTAATAGAAATTAATTGATAGTTAATAATTAAGTTAGAAGTATAGGTGGTACGTTTTTCGCCCAAAAAGGACCTTTCACTTTTCGTCCAAATAATATAATAAAACAGTTTCCTTTGTTCTTAGTACTTCACTAATTAAAATATACCTGCATTATTTTCGTCTACGGTTTCATGTTCAATATTTCGGAAACTATTAATAATCGATTATAGGTATAATTTATTTGTTTGATATTTGCTTATTTATTTTTTAATCTGTACAAAATATATTAATAAAATCATTAACTCAAGGAAAACCACGAAGAGTAAAAAAAAAAATATAATGTTTATAATAGAAAATTAATGACAAAATATCAGGTTGTATTATCGTGTTTGTAAACACAAGACCACTATTTGTGGTGTAATAGAAACAGCCTCCTCATATTGCTCTCTAAGTATCTAATGCTAACCGGCTTTATTAAAACATTTTGAACAAATATTGAAAATTACTTGAGCTTTAATATCGAATAAATAAGCAAATATCAAACATAAATAATGTTGATAAATGGTTCATGAAATTTTGAGCATAAAATCGTGACCGTAAAGAGTGACATCAAAATTTGGAATCTGGGATTTTTGGAATTTTTAAGTGTAGTTAAAGCACTAAAAACACCACGCGTAATGCGGTCACTCAAATTATACATCACTACTCCCTCCATTCCCTTCAAAATATTGTTCTCTATATATTTCATAATAGGTATTTTTGCTCTAAAACCAAAATTAAGTTAGTTTTACTTATTCGACGTAAGCATTGTTTATGTATGTTACCAGTAGCAAGGGGAAGGGGTGCCTGGTCAAATGCGTGAATCAATGAAACGGCTTTTTACTGATGGGGAAATTTCGTGAAAATATCTCTACCAGTCGTACAAATTTATACTAAATATTAGCATAGAAAAAAGTTTGAAAAGTTAAATTTAAACCTCACAGGGGTGGCTGAAGAAACTTTTTAAACGACTCCCCTCCCTCATAGTTTTTCTGATATTACGTCTAAACTAAAAGCATACAAATTCATGCTAATAGGATATAAAAAAATGTGTTGCATTTAATCGAATAAACATTACCGGCGATCCGTTTCCTGTTATTAGCCGTATTTTCGATGGGAACGTATACCTGAATAATCATAATGGGTGGTCGGGCTCTAGACATATATTCAGTAATATATCGTTTCCTTAAATCCGAAAATTGAGGTAGACAACTTTTTGAAACGTAATTACCCCGTCTTTATATACCTATATTATAACCTAACCTAACCCAACCATATTATTTAACCTGTCACCAAATTCAAAGGACAATAGAGAGATTATATTGTACGGTTCAAAGCATACCTATATCTATAATAGTATATTACGAACATTGTTCTTCCTTCGTGTCGGATGTAAAGACGTATTTAAAGGCGTTAGAGGCGTATTATGAAAGATGTAGAAGATGCCCTTGGTTTTTTTTTTTTTTTTGCTATTTGATTGAAGTATATCAATTTTTCATAATTGGAAAACCGCTTAAAAATATTCTAAGATAGTTAAT